TTTTTACATCCATTCCTTCACTATCATCACTACTACTATTATCACTACTACTATTATCACTTTCTTCATCACATTCGTCATCACTTTCAGTCATTTCCCAATCCAGAAGGTCCTCTGGTGCAGATAAGTTTAAGAAGAACGATTTCCGATGTGGCCTCACGTAATTCGGAGAAAAGGCATCAAGGTAGAGATTACTTAACTATATATTAAAAAAAAAAATATAGATTTATATATATTACAGTATAAAAAAATTTTTACCTATAAATTAATACAATAAGTAAAGAAATAACTATACTTTATCAGATCTCCGGGATATATCAGGTAAGTTAAAGGACGCGTAACTATTTTCATCCCTTTCCTCAGCATCGGAACTTTCATGATCGCTTTTGTTTAGCAGTTTTCTTAACTCATCTAAATCATACTTATTAGTACGTTTACCATTCTTTATGGAAAAGTATCTAAACGCCTCCGTATGTCGGGTCATTTTCTATAAAATTCATTCAAAGGTACGTAAGTATAAGTATAAGAATATAGGGAATATAACATTTTCATATTAAAAGTGCGTAAAAATTATTATGGCTTATGCTGAATCTAGATTCATCTAGATTCGGCATTAATTTTATCATATATATTTATAACGATAAATCTAATGCTAAATTTTTGAAATAATTACTTCAGGTTGCTGAGAGTTTATATGTAACCAGTCATCGAGATGGAATGGATCCTGATGAATTGATAACGTATTTCGGGATGATTTAGTAGGATATTGTCGCCGAATTTCTGCCAACTTATGTCGGCTTGTTTTGTAACGATCTCCCAAATTGCTGAAAAAAACAGGAAACGTATTTTCTGCCATTTTGTCTTTAGATTTGGTGCCCTTTTCTTTTAGATTAAGGAAAACTTTTCTCTATAATTAAAAATACTATTAATATGAAATAAAATACTAATTAATATATATATTTTATATGTTGATGATATACCCTTTTTCGATCCATATCATCATCAACTATTGTATTCAACCTGGTTGTTGCTTCCGGAGCCGACCTTCGTAATGCATTAGTTGAAGATTCTTCCATCACCCACTCAAACGAGTCTTGGTCATCAGATTGACTTAAATCATACAATTCGTCAATATCGTCAATCAAAGTGCTAACGGAGGACATTAAATAATTGATTTGGTCCGTTATGCCCATTATGTTACGATCTTGCCGTAATGTGACACCATGAAGCTCATTAATTACTTTCCATAGCCGTAGATTTTCTAGAAACAAAATTATAAGAATTTAATTATAAATAAGTGATTAGTTAAATAAAGCAATACCGTTTTCTAATTCTTCGAATTTTCTATTTCTTCTCATGGTATCACGTTCATATTCTTCTTGGATAATAGGAGAGCTAGAAGAGCTAGAAGAGCTAGAAAAGCTAAGCAGAACATTAGTGTGTCTAGATGGAGTGATTTGTGAAGTTGTTGTTGGTTGTGTGGTAAATATGGCGGGTTGATTAGTGCCAGATTGTGTGGTGGATGTAGCTGATTCAGCGATGTAGAGTTGTGTATTAGAAGTAATAGGTCTATCTCTATTAGTACTGGATTGTGTGGTAGAAGTAGCAGGTATATTAGTGTTAGATTGTGTGGTGGATGTGGCTGATTCAGCGATGGAGAGTTGTGTAGGTCTATCGTTATTAGTGCTGGATCGTGTAGTGGCTGATTCAGTGGTGGAGAGTTGTGTAGTAGAAGTAATAGGTATATTAGTGTTGGGTTGTGTGATGGATGTGGCTGATTCAGCGGTGGAGAGTTGTGTATTAGAAGTAGTAGGTCTAATAGTAGTGGATCGTGTAATGGGTGTGGAGGGTCTAGTGGTAGTGGGATGTGTGCTCAAGGATTTCTTTGCTTTCTTCATTTTTAGAGGAAAGAAATGTGAAAAATCGAAGATTAAGGTAATAGAGATAAGTGAAAGGTTGAAGATTAAGGTAATAGAGATAAGTGAAAGGTTGAAGATTAAAATTGAAAATTAAAATGGTAGAGAAGTAAAAGGTAGAAAGAAAGGTAATATTTTTTAAGGAAAAGGACGACAGGATCAAGGTATGTGTTCAATTCAACTATAATCGTTATAATAATTTCAATTTTATAAAAATTCGTGTCGGTAAATATCGAAAGTTGGTGAATAATATAATACGTAAAGAACGAATATTGATATAGACGGAATATGAACGCGAAATATTTTATCAAAATTGAATCTCTAGACGACCTCCATTATTCATAATTACTATAATATTTTAGGTTCGTCAAAGTTTTCTTTATTAATCTTTTAGATTCGCGCGTCTATATATACTTTACGTGCAGAATCATAAGTTGCTTAGTTATCGATTCGGCGCAGTAATTGATTGCATAAAAAAATTACTCTTATAATTGAACCTGCATAAGGTAATAAAAAAAAATGCCTTTGTTGCATCCGAAAATATTGCACCATAATAGCCGGATAGGTACTGTATGATATTATTCGAAGACCTCGATTTTTACATGTTGATTGTTATTGTTATTCTGTCATTTTTACTGTATGTAAACGATAACAATAAAAAAAATGCTTCTGATGTGAAATACAAAACTCGTTGCTATTTCAACAAATCAGTTCCTCACTAATGTCAAACAAAAAATTTTTTTTTCCATTTCGATAAATTTCTACACAAATAGAGACCCCAGATTATGCGCATTGAAAAGAATTGCTATGCGATATGATGATTTCAAATTATGCGATATTTGCGCGAGGAACCATGCACGTACGTAGTTATGAATTTAAGATAAAGAAATTTAACAATTATATACATATGCTTTGATTATTCGGTTAAAATGCCCGCACAAATGCCAAATAAATCTCGTAAAAACAATAACAATTACTGTAATCGCATTTTATGCACCTATTATGCGACCGCATATGTCCGTGGTCTACACAAATAGCATGGTTCAAAATGAAACAAAAATTAGAGTTTAGCTTTCGTTAGTGTAGCAAAGAAAAGTTAAAGACGCAGGAGGAAAAAAAACAAATACAATTTATTACATAGAATTAATTTATAAATAAATACTAAAATGTATTTATGCAATGCATTAAAATTATGCTTTAATGTAGCAAATAAGGTTATACGTAGAATAACAAGATAAATAACAGATAAGTTAGAAAACTTATACGTAAATTTGAAACCGATTGTCTAAATTTTACTGATCTGTGATTGCGTAATCAAGTACGTACTGTAGACCCCAGACGTTTTGATAGCAAAAGTAAATTTAGCAAAATAGCTTATTATAAATTTATATTTATAAGTATATATAAATTTTAATGAAATCATATTTTTTTTCTGCGAGTTCTTCATCTATCATTGCAATGAGTTCTTAGGTAATCATCTAAAATATGCATATAATTACTCGTTTACATAAATCAGTTCAAGAACAAAGGTAAAATCACATGTTTAGAGCAAAAATAGCATCTTAGAGCAAGACAATTGTTGCTAGCTATTTTGCTAAAAAATAGTGCTGCTACAAAATCCGAGGACTCTGTCTGTATGTATCCACTGTATTGTGGAATCGGAAAATGTGTACGTACCAGGTTGGTGACGTAGTTCTTCTGATCTACGAATCAGTTTTCAAGATTAGGTGTAATGTAACACAATCAAGATTCAAAACAAACGTTCGTTCTGCCAAAAATCGCTCATAACTCAAAAATCAGCATAAGTAACCACATTCTGTGTTCCAAAAAAAGCTTTTGTTTGACAATTTTACTATTAAAGCTACTCCCCTCTAGCTCTTAACCCTGACCCTAGACTTAACGAATTTTAAGAATTTTGTCTGCGCCACCAACCTGGTACACATTTTCCAATTGCACCTTTGTTAAAATATGACATAAATAAGTAATTGGTTGAGATCTGATCATTAATACAATATATCGATATTTCCCTTTTAACATTTAAACTAATTTACTGTCGATTAGCGTCGCTAGGCGGTAAACCTCACTATTTAGCTCTTTATGGAGATTATGAACATTTTCGAATATTTATTACATCGCGCCTGAATTTTAGTCATGACTTCCATAAATATTATATTAAAATTTATTAAAAAAGTTATTACCTTGTTATTAAGAATTTAAACACTTTCAGCCTACATATTATTCTCGTGTCTACTGTAAGAATTTATTGCATTCGCACTATGAAAAAGTTTTAACTTGCTTGTTGCCTCCATCAAGCTATAAGAATTTTAATGCGTTTGCCAATTGAATTTTTTTGGTGCTAATCACGAGAATTTTAACACTTTCGGATTCACCATATAACATGCGCCGTATGTTATTGTAAATAGTTGTTTTCTTGACAGTATTTTATCTTTTTTTAAAAAAAAAGAAATTCACATATTTATGAAAATTTTGTCTCAATTCAGAGTATTCAATTATTTCTAGCATCTAAAATATTTATACAATTAAAAAATCAAACAAATTCAAACAAATTTGGTCATGAGTTTGTTGCTATTTTAAAGCTAGAAATAACTGGACAATTTATATGATTTGCTTTAATTATTAAAGATTGAAAACATGATGATAAATAACTAATACTAAGTAATCAAAAATATGTCAGCAGACTATAAATGAAAATCGGAATTAAAGCCTCTAATTAAAGATCTCCAAATGCTATTGATTTATTTCATCTATCATTAATATTAACATGATAAAAATTTCCTTGAAATTTCACGAATAAAGTTACGTTCTGGATATTGTTTTTTTTTTTATGAAACACAGGAACATGCAAGTTTTGAGCTTTAAGCGCCATATTTCATAATTAATGTTAAATAATCTAAATGATTTTCATTACTTAGTCGGTTTACCACGTTAACAGTAATCATTAATCACTAACTTTGCCTTCAACTTCAATTGAAATACAAAAAAGTTTATATTGTTAATTAATAGAGTTTAATATTATGCATAAAAAAATCTAATCTTAGGAAACCTAATCTGATCAAAAAAAAGCATAAATACAATTCGAATACGATAAAAAAATTTGGGGAGCATACTAATGCATACAGAAATGACCAAAGATTTACCGATGAAAAAGATGCTAATGGGTTAAATATCATTAGGAATC